AAAAGTGTTATTTTCGACTTCTTGTTAAAAACCAATAGTTCAATTGCTTTGATATTACATATATAGATACTACATGTAGACCTTTCTCAGATTTGCTCATTTTGTGATGATATCTTCAGTTCTCTAATTTTGGTGAATATTTTTGGTAAAAAGTGATATTTTCGACTTCTTGTTAAAAACTGCAAGTCCGATTGCTTTGATATTACATATATAGGTACTACATGTGGACCTCTCTCAGATTTGTCCATTTTGTGATGATATCTTCAATTCTCTAATTAATTTATTTTGGTGAATATTTTTGTAGTTTTTGGTAAAAAGTGATATTTTCGACTTCTTGTTAAAAACTGTAAGTCCGATTGCTTTGATACTATTCATATTGTTCATTTTCTAATGATGTCTTCAGTTCTTTAATTGAAATGTGCATTGCTAACAGCGGAGCTATCTATAGGCTGCTTGTTTCATATATCCTTCAATATTTCTTGAAAAGAACCTTAAATTTTGGAAAATTTGAGTTAATTTTCAGTTTTTACTCAAAAAATTTGGCCTTTTTTTCCCAATCTTCTAAACGAAAGTGCAGACTATAAATGGAATTATTTTGTGAATTTGCTCTATTGATAATAAATGTGGTTATGTCAGGGATCGCACTACCCTTTCTGACAACAAGTTGTTCTTAACATGCCTCTAATTTAAGATAATGATGTACATATGTCCATTTCTTGCGCATGAATGCATTAGAACGCATGTAATTAATTTAATTCATCAGTGTGATTCTGTCAGAGCAAGTACTATAAGGTTATTACAAGAATACCTCAAAGTATGCACGAAGACAGTACAGCTTGAGTATCGACCGATGTGCACCGTACTGTCTGAGTGCATACTTTGAGGTATTCCCGTAATAACTTATGGTACTTGTCATTATTATACATCTTTTCCTCTAGTGATACACCACAAGATGCCGAAATTCAAAATGTTTAGAGCAGAATCAGCGAACTTCTTTGTATGGAGTCCGGTCAAACTCTGGTGGCAGCCATGTTTGTTTTTATTATTAGAGGACACTTACATGGGTAATCATTCCATATTTGGAATTCGCATTTTCTAATATGGTAGGATGAAAATACCCCATAAAATACGACAGGCTGTAACTTTTTGCGTTACGATGACAGATGTATAATAAATATTTTTATTCTGAATAATTATTGCACTTATATTTTATTAGCGAGATCTAATAATGACAAGTGTGTCTATGGTCAAAATAAATACATGGTTCATTTGTGCTGCCAGGGCTTGACACTAAGGCTAAGTTATATTGCCTGGGACAAGTGCAATTGCCATTCGTCAACTGAATAGTAACTCACTTGCCTTAACAGACTATAGTAAATATATCAAAAATACATTTTGTGAGTTCTAACCTTTTCACCACCAGACTTTCTGGCCCAAATTTGTGTGCATTATTTTATATTCTTCAATATTTCTGGAAATGAACCAAAATTTTAGAGACAACAGGCAAAAGTTTAGTCAATTTTCAGGTTTTACTCAAAAAATTAGGCTAATTTTGTCCCAACTTCTGGAGGAATGTGCAGACTATTAACAGGACAGTTTTGTGAATTTGTGATGAAAAGAGGGAACTGGTGATGAAAAGGTTAAACTTAAAATACATTTTGTGAGTTCTAAATTTAATGTAAATTCCTGTATGTTTCTATAGTGTAATAAAGAATATATTTTACTTGATCTTGTTTCTGAAAGATGCTCTAATGCAATTTATTAGTTCAATTTATTTAATTGGCTTAAGTTTAATTATCAATATTAAGTCTGGTATTTGCATGCAATCTTGAAATCAGAATTCAAAAAGATTGAAACATAACAGTGTTGTGGTTGCTAAGTGACATGGTTCTAAAGTATTTATAAGCTAAGAAATTCAGTATACTGTGAAATACTTTATTTTAGCTGGAATTAATTTTTGCTGAAAAGACATTTTGTGTGGATTTTATTTTCACTGATTTTTGACGAGTTGAATGTAAAATATAGGAAAAAAGTAAATTCGCTGGATTTAATTTCCACTGAATCATTCCTTCAGCGAAAATTAATTCCAAGCAAAAATAAAGTATTTTGCAGTATTTGAGATACAGCATTTACTTGCAGCCTTTTTTGATTTTTCAAATAATATAAAAAATTATCATTATATTTTGCACATATTGAAGTATTAAGATCACATTTTCTGTGTTGCAAAATTCAAAATGTAACTTGTCAGAGTTTGGAGATGAGCAGCTGCAATGCTGGTATTGAAAGATGAATTGCTCTCAAATAATAAAATCACAAACCATGATATCACAAAAATTAAATGGTTCACTGTATTTCCTCCCATGTTTAGCGTAGATTAATTTACTGTAAATCATAAACTGTAAGTTTATTGTTATTTGATAAGTTTGTGGAATTTTTTTGAATTTGGGGAACTACATTTTTGTAGACACATTTGCATAACAAAGCATTTCTTTAGTATGGCCATAGTAATGAAACAAGGTAATTTAAATTTATTTCTTTAGTTGTAGTAGAACCAACTGTAGCAATTTTCAGGAGCAGAAACATTGGCATAACAAAACATTTATTTTGTATGGCCATATCAGAGAAACCATGTTTACATTTATATCTTTAGTTATTTATATCTTTAGTTGTAGTAGAACCAACTGTAGCAATTTTCAGTAGCAGAAAAATTGGCATAACAAGACATTTATTTTGTATGGCAGTGAAACCATGTTTAAATTTATATCTTTACTTATTTATAACTTTAGTTGTAGTAGAA